TGAACTTTTACTTCACATAAAGTAGCACAGAATAGTCATCTTCTTCTCTAGCATTCTGAGCCCTTGAGGTTTACTGTTGCAGATATCAGTCGTCTCCATTCTGGCTGGCCTTCTCTTCACAATTTGTGACACCAGTTGTTTGCAAGTCTGGCTGGAAATTATCTCTCGAACTTCTTTTTTTGTCTGCCTCGTGGTCTGCGCCCATTCCTCTCTCAGGTGTATACAGTTTTTTACTTCTCTGTCATCTGACATTCTTTCAATATGCCCAACAATTTTAGTCTGTTAGCTCTCATGATGCCAGTGATCAATTGTGATTTAACTAGATAAAATGTCACGTTGTTGCTTCTCACTCTCCATTTCCCGCTGTTAGCATCTATGATGGGTCCAACGATTTGTCGTAAGACTGTTTTCGAAAACCTGTAATAAGGCCTTATCTTTTTTATTTCTGCTTCAAGTTTCAGAGCCATACAAAACGACTCGTGTTATCAACGTTTTATATATTTTGATCTTGGTGTTGCAAGAAAGACACTTTTACTTTAGCAAACGATGAAGGGCATATTATACTTTATTTCTAGATTGTATTTCTTCTCTCAGCATGGAGCAGTTAAAGTTTGCACTCAAGTACTTTTATGTTTCCGTTAGTTTGATTTTCATATTATCGACTTGGATACGGCAGGAGTTTATATTCTTTGCATGTCTTGTTAGTATTCGTACAAAATAGTAAACATTTAAAAACATTTAATGTTTTGCATCCTTCAGTCAGTCTGTGGTAACTAATAACTAGAAATGAAAGAATCCTATGTATTATAACAAGTAACTAAACTTGGAAATTGCCACTAACAGGTTAGTTAATGCAGGAAAGCTGCATTAGCTTTCAACAAAACCAATCATTCCATTTGTCAGCATTAAGGCCGTGTATGCAGAAGCGGGTGTAAAGTAACTACTATTCGTATTCGGCCTGACCGCAACTATTCGGCCAAATACCGAATAGTCAATAGGTCCACTATTCAGCCCCAAAGAGAATTTCGAATATATATATCCCTCTCTCCCCTTTTCCCTCTCTTTCACTCAGCTTCCATCGCGAATGCTCCCAAGTGTTTTCTTCTACAAACGCACACTGCGAAATTCTAATATAACGGGAAAGTACCAACTCGGAGAGGTTAGCAGCTTGTGGAGAGCCAACTCGTTCACTATTATTCCCGTGTGAGTTTTTGCAGCCCCGTTTTTGCAGGTTCGGGTGAAGATGGGTTGGGGCAGGGGGTGGAACAGACCCATTGCCACCCAACAATCATAAAGGAAATAGAAGGTAAAGGAAAGAGAATGAAATAATGAAACAGCCAGACATACCTATTGATAGAAGATAATAAACAATTCCTATGGGGATTTATAAAGCTTGGAGGCTCGTGCTTTGTAACAGCCTGCTGCATTGTAGTTATACGAAGGGTAATTAAAGAAAGGTCAAATCAGAAAAGTGCCAGTCTAAACTGGATATACAAACTCACATACATGACCAACAGCTCAGTGCAACTGAGTGCAACGCAGTGCAACTGAGCAGCAGTTTAGTGTAACTGACAGCTCTCTACAAGTCAAGCAAAAGTTCACTGTAAGTGAGCAACAGTTTAGTGCAGATGACCAACAGTTCACTGTGACTGAGCTACAGGTCAGTGTACCTGAGGAACAATTCACTACAACTGACCAACAGCCAACAGCAATTGAAAACCAGCTCACTACAACTAAACAATAGCCCACTGCAACCTAACAACAGTTCAGTGCAGTTGATCAAACGCTCACTGAAACTGATTAACAGTTCAGTGTAACTAACCAAAGCTCACTACAACTGACAAGCATTTCACTGTAACTAACCAAAGCTCACTGCAGTTGATTTAAGCTCACTACAGCTTACCAACAGTTCAGTGCAATTTACCAAACGTACAATGCAACTGGCCAGCAGTTCAATGCTAGTGAACCACAATTCACTGTATGTATGTAAATATTTACAGAACATACATGTATGCAGAGCATTTATTATTCATTTTCTCCTTCCCACTCCCTTTCTAACCATTGCATCTCACGCGCTCTGCCTCTCTCTTTTCTCTCTCTCCTCTCTCTCTTCTCTCTCTCCTCTCTCTCTTCTCTCTCTTGCTTCCCTCTCCACTCTCTCCTCTCTCTCTCTGTGTGTGTGTGTGTGTGTGTGTGTGTGTGTGTGTGTGTGTGTGTGTGTGTGCCACCTTTTAAAAGTACAATTTTCCATACCCTGCCCTTAGGCAGTATCACAGTAAAAAGTCACCCAAGGGTTTTGTAACCGCAAACATAAACAAACGATTCGCTGCATGTTTTATATATTAATGGAGGCTGGGTAGGTTTAAACCCCATCTGAACCCCACCACAGACGATGAACACTCAGCCATCGCCGACATAAATGTATATTACATATATGTATATGTATATATTAGGGCTGTACCGAATAGTGATTTTCACTATTCGGCCGAATACGAATAACGCGACCAACTATTTGGCCAAATATGAATACGAATAGTGTCATCATCATCATCATCATAAACCACTTCTGCGTTAAGCGCCTTGGGGAGGAATAATTTGCGATCCAGTGCACGTTGGCTGCCTCTGGCTATTGTCACGAATAGTATCACCATACACTAATAGTGTATAGTGTATAAAATATATCTTTAACAAAAAACACACATTTATAATGTCAAATGTACGCTGAACTTTTACTTCACATAAAGTAACACAGAATAGTCATCTTCTTCTTTAGCATTCTGTTGCAGATATCAGTCGTCTCCATTCTGGCTGGCCTTCTCTTCACAATTTGTGACACCAGTTGTTTGCAGGTTTGGTTGGAAATTATCACTCGAACTTTTTTGTGTGTGCCTGCCTTGTGGTCTACGCCCATTCCTCTCTCAGGTGTATACAGTTTTTACTTGTCCATTTGCGATCCAAACCTTCTCGGTCTGCTCTTGTAGGGTGTTAGTTAGTTAGCTAGCTAGTTAGTTAGTTAGTTAGTTAGTTGGGTTATCATAATTGCACTCCGGGCATGTCCATAGGTGCTCAGATCCTCCCCTCGGTATGAACCCGAACGGCGTTTAGTACCTGTTCTATGTTGATTAACAAGTCTTCAGGTGTGTCTGGTGTGCGTTTCTTTTTTGTTGTTGTTGCTATGACGATCTTAATTCCTAAGTCAGCCATTTTGGCGAGTGATGTGGATTCAATCGAAGGTTGTATTTCACATTAGAGAAGCATTTGGTTGTGAATCACATAACTTAACTGATGCCACAAATTGCAAAAAATATGTAAAAACCATATTTTGGGGAAACCGGCTGGAAGCTAGCAGATCGCTTCCTTGAACATTTTGATGATATTGAAAATAAGGTTCCCAAACCGGTCCCCTTCCATTTCAACAGTTCTGACGACCAGAACAATAGCAATATCGCAGTCTCGGATATTTGATCTTGCTATGGTGACCAAACCAGCCTCAACTCCTGAGAAAGCCGTGCCATTCATAGTTTTAGCGTTCTTAACTCTAAAATGATCAACATTCGGCACAGCCTATTCAATTGAATTCATTGACCTATTCAGTTTACTTATTATTTTTTCTCTCCTCTTTTTACACATCGATTTTTTTTTAAAACTGCCTTTCGTATTATAGCCTTCCAAAGTCATATGCCCCCCACCCATTGCGTACTTCATGATCTCATGTTCACAATTGTTTTTAGAGGCTCTGTTGTCTTGTTCGTTGAGTTTCTCAGTCACAGTTTTTGCTGTACTCGTTGATAAAGACTCTGGTCAAAACGTTCGCTTGTATTTGTGTGGCTCTGAAAGTGGAAAGTGGGCTTTTACTGACTTTATGGGACCGGTATAAAACGAATGACTGTCACCTTTAGTCAAGTAGAACGCACGTCAAGGGCCTTTTTTTTTAAAGAAAAGTAGTGGGGGGGGGGGAGTGGAAAGAGGGGGGGGGAGTGGAAAGAGGGGGGGGGGGGAGTGAGGGGCGGGGGAGTGGAAAGAGGTGGGAGTGGAAAAGGGGGGGAATGGAAAGTGGGGGGTGGAAAGAGGGGGGGAGTGGAAAGAGGGGGGGGGGTGGAAAGAGGGGGGAGTGGAAAGAGGGGGGGGGGAGTGGAAAGAGGGGGGGGGGGTGTGAAAAAAAGGAGGGGGTAGGCAATGACCCATCAAGAACATGACGCTAGGATAATATTTTTATAGATAACTCGAAACTATGTGTTTGATCTGGTCACCATTACCATTGCCACCTTTAGTTCAGCGAAGGATAGAACGACTTGGCGTGAGTTGGTTGAGGGCCTATGCTCCACTGGGGGTACAACATTGGAGCACATTTTGGAGAAACTTCTTTTTCTTCTTCTTCGCGTTCACCAGCTGTAAACTCTGGCGGGAGGTTCTGGTTGCTCGTCCACTACTGAACTGCAGTCCTGCTCCAGAACCTGAGTGTTGCGTGTGCATCAGTTTTACAAATCTCATTCTCTTGAATACAAACTGTTGGCTCTTTGCCTCTCCGGAAGATGCACTCCGACTTCAAAGGAAGCTCCCCAATTAGTCGACTCTTACGACATGCTTTTGGAGAGGCATTGGGTCTATTCTTGTTTTCCCCACAATGGGGCCCCGGAACCCACACGGGGGATTTGGGAGAAACATAAATCTTCGTCTCGTCGAGGAAGCGAACACAAGCCCACCAGATCGGTGTTTCGTGGCAACCACAACCGTCGTGGTAACATCTGTTACGGTTTCTGAAATTTCCTGCGGTCGACTTTCGAGAAGACGGCTGACGGACAGATATTTATGGGTCGTTAATGTTGGTGTCAAACCTGACGGATGGTTGCTAAAATCGGCTGCTGATGGCTGAAACTACTCTGGGTGGTTGCTGACACGTGATGGATGTCGATAGAGCACAGTGGCTGGTCGCAGCTGTTGTAGCGTTTTTGTTTTATAGACGTCCAGGGTTATTTACGGTGGAGGGGGAGGGAGGGGGGATGAGGTGTGAGGACCCAGATGTAGGCCACAGACACCTGCGATCATATACACTGGCAGAAAAGGAAGAAGAAGAAGAAGAAGAAGAAGAAGAAGAAGAAGAAGAAGAAGAAGAAGAAGAAAAAGAAAGAAAGAAAGAAAGAAAGAAAGAAAGAAAGAAAGAAAGAAAGAAAGAAAGAAAGAAAGAAAGAAAGAAAGAAAGAAAGAAAGAAAGAAAGAAAGAAAGAAAGAAAGAAAGAAAGAAAGAAAGAAAGAAAGAAAGAAAGAAAGAAAAAGAGAAAGAAAGAAAGAAAGAAAGAAGAAGAAGCAGAAGAAGAAGCAGAAGAAGAAGCACAAGAAGAAGAAGAGGAAGAAGAAGAAGAAGAAGAAGAAGAAGAAGAAGAAGAAGAAGAAGAAGAAGAAGGAGAAGAAGAAGAAGAAGAAGAAGAAGAAGAAGAAGAAGAAGAAGAAGAAGAAGAAGAAGAAAGAAAGAACGAAGAAAGAAAGAAAGAAAGAAATAAAGAAATAAAGAAATAAAGAAGAAGAAGCAGAAGAAGAAGCAGAAGAAGAAGAAGAAGAAGAAGAAGAAGAAGAAAAAGAAGAAGAAGAAGAAGAAGAAGAAGAAGAAGAAGAAGAAGAAGAAGAAGAAGAAGAAGAAGAAGAAGAAAAAGAAGAAAAAGAAGAAGAAGAAGAAGAAGAAGAAGAAGAAGAAAGAAGGAAGAAAGAAATAAAGAAAGAAATAAAGAAATAAAGAAGAAGAAGAAGAAGAAGAAGAAGAAGAAGAAGAAGAAGAAGAAGAAGAAGAAGAAGAAGAAGAAGAAGAAGAAGAAGAAGAAGAAGAAAGACGGAAAGAAAGAAAGAAACAAGAAGAAGAAGAAGCAAGAAAGAAAGAAAGAAAGAAAGAAAGAAAGAAAGAAAGAAAGAAAGAAAGAAAGAAAGAAAGAAAGAAAGAAAGAAAGAAAGAAAGAAAGAAAGAAAGAAAGAAGAAAGAAAGAAAAAAATAAAGAAAGAAACAAGAAAAAGAAGAATTCCAACGTCTGCCTGGTCTCGGGGTATGGTGTCCGCCTCTCCGGGTTCAGTTCCCGGTAAGGGCTCGGATTTTTTTCACGTGGACTTAGACTTCTAGTAATTCCTCCTGGTCTCTGGGTAGTGAGATCGGACGCCCGTGTGCACTGCCGCGCATGTAAAAAAATCGCTTGGCAGTTGGAAATCAAAAAGAGTAGCCTAACGGCACTGCCCGGGCAAAATTTGGAGTTATAAATCTACCCAAATATTTCAGGATCCTCGCCGGTGCTACAGAGCCTGTGCACTGTGTTGAGCTTCTTCGGACTCATGCTTGAGGTAGAAGAAGAACGGAGCACTTATGGGTTACTACCCGCGTGCCATGATGTTGATCCGTTGTTCAAACTTCGTACTTCAACTTCGGTGAACGAGGCGAGAGTTCTGGCGAGAGACTGAACTGATCTGAGACACAGAATGTTAGCGAAGTTCTGAAAAGAACCTGCTACATGATAATAACTGTGACAGTGATGGCGATTAGGAAGACATAAAGACAATTTAGAAGTAAAATTAAAAAACAACACCCTGAGACAAACAGAGGAATAAAGTATTTGGGAGCAATTTTCACATCCGATGGAAAACCGGACAGAGAAATTAGCTCCAGGTGTGCCAAAGCTAATCAAGTAATGGGGCAACTCTTGACACACACGCAGATACTTCGGAGTACTAACGTGAATCTTTTCAGAACTATTTTTTTGCCAACACTATCCTATCAGTGCCAAACGTGGACACTTACATCCTTCAATGAACGTGAAATTGTGACAACAGAGATGAAATGCCTAAGAAGAGCTGCAGGAGTTTCAAGGAAAGACAGACTACGAAATCATGAAATCAGACGAATGCTAGGAATAAAGCCAGTCTTACAGGTCATCTAAGAACAACAAATGAAGTGGTTTGGACACCTAACAAGAATGCCTTGGTACTATCTGCCACACTAAAACGTTACAACGGGTATAGAGCAAGTGGGAGACCTCGGAAAATATGGTGTGATGGCATTAAGAACAGCCTTAAAGAAATGAACATCAATCTTAATAGTGCTCTTGACAGAGCCCATCAACGAACATTACATCCCCCCCCCCCCCCCCCCCCCCCCCCCCCCCCCCCCCCCCCCCCCCCCCCCCCCCCCCCCCCCCCCCCCCCCCCCCCGACACTTCGCTGAGGTACAAGGTGAAAGAGAAGAAGAAAAAGTGATGGCGATGATTGTAGAAGTAAGAAACTGACTAACTGTCTGCGCATACAACGTCATTGTACAGACCACATATTTTTGCCCCAGCACCACGTCTAAAAAGATAGGATATAAAATTAAACCCCAGGTTGTCAAAAGAACAATCGCGAGCACACACAATAGGTGAAACGTATCAGCGCCGGGAAAACACAGAGGTTAGACCAATCTACGCGCACGTCAAGCTCGTGTTTGTTCGAGCGTGTACGAGTCTTCGTGGCGTATATAGTTTACACAACATTTTTACCCCAGCCTAGACATTATACATAGATCGATATCTACAACACTGAAGGTCTCTGTTGCCCAGCGCAATGTTCTTCAACTTTTTATTTTCATTCCGCTGCCCGGGAAAATACCGAAATTTTTTTTTCGCAAGCTTCCTGATGGCTAAGGCAGAAAGGTTCTTTTTTTTTTTTCACTCAATCTCAGGGCCTCCAAAATTTCGTGCGGGATTCTCGAGAAAGTCTAATTTTTTTTTGGGGGGGGGGAGGGGGGGGGGGTGTTATAGTTAAGGTTAGTGTCAGTCGGTGTTTATTTCACACACTTACACCCCTATAATATTGTATTTTCCCGGGAATTCCCCGCGAAGCCCTAATATAGGGTGAAATAAAAGAAAAGAACTGGCATAAAAAAAATAAAATAAAAGTAGGAAACAATAATAATGTGCCGTCTCCAGAATGGAGGTTATCCGTAGATTTGTGAGAATATTTCGCTGTAAGGCCCCAATTCTTTTACCACTATCTGGAAGCCATGAGCTGTTGTTTTTTGGCACCTCACCGTCTTTATAGACGAGCTGGCCTAGCGGTTACAACGTCGGGTTTTCATGTGGTAGACCGGGGTTCGAATCTCGGTAAAGTGACGGAGTTTTTATGTCGGGGGCAAAATTGAACATCCTAGCCTGCACAGTATGTGACTACAGCACTAGCCAAGATATGCTCAGATAAATCCTCAGACTCGACCCCCTGTCAACACCGTCTTAAAAAAAATGGTAGAACAGACTGTAGTGACAGCTGAAAGGGGTTAATTTTGCTACTGGAAGGCATGTCAACGAACGAATAAGCAACGAAAGAGCCGCTTTAGTGCAGTCGATAGGAGACTCGCTTTCAAATCCAGCTGTGACTCGCTGCTGCTCACTGCCGGTGTTAGAAACGAGGCGGTTCCCTGGGTTCACCCAGCCTCTAGAAAATGGGTCCTAGAGTTAACACTATGGGGTAAATGGAGGAACGTCTCTGTAGCTACGGAGTTGCGTGAGGTCGGCGACACAGGCGGACAATTTCTTATCAGCTGTCCGTACTGGCGGCACAGCACTTATGGATTATAACCGTGGGCAATGACGCTGGTTCACATCTCCCGACTTTACCTTTTAGTATATTATTTTAAAATCACAATTTTTAGGTAATCCTTCTGATAGACCAGTCCAAGTCCGTCTACTACCGTATGAAGAACACTGGTCTCGTTCATTCACCCTCGGAGCGACAGACTGGTAAAGTTCATTATAATCGCCTAGGTAACGTGATGAGTGTATAGGTTAGATAAACATTTGCTGTGTATGCGTGGATAGTCAGCTTTTTTTATTTGAGAAGTTGAAAGTTTGGGAATATATTCTCTGACAGTGACATTTGCGCGTATTGAAGTGAGGGTGAATATTTTATAATAGTGACATTTGCGCGTATTAAAGTTTTGGCGCATGTTATATGACAGCAACATTTGTACGCTGCGTAGTGCTTGAAAAGTGGGGTAGGATGTAGGAAAAGGATGGGGGGGGGGGGGGGGGGGTAGCGAGGGCATAAGGTACAATAAAAGTTTGTTGCCAGTCTTTAATATGATTTTGCGAACGAACCTCATATTTTTTTAATGTGTGTGTGTGTGTGTGTGGCTGTTGTCGTTTTTCTGTGCACATTTACGTTCAGTAGTTTGCCATTGCTTCTGAATAACGAACTCTCAATACTACTATCGAAATCAACGCAAGATGGTCTGCAGCTGGGATCGAATCCGGCACCACAGCGTTCCGAAGCCCAGACGCCGACATACATTAGGGATGCAGTGGCAAATTATAGTCCATGGGTGGAGAGCTGAGACTGAGTAGAAGCACTGCAAACGTAGGCATTGACAACTATGATCTTGACATCTATACCCTTAGCCTTAGTTGAGGCTTTAGCATCACCGCAGTCGGGGTTCCCCATAACTGCTCCGTTCCTGTTATTCTGCTTCTTCTACTTCTCTTCCTCCATTGACCTCAGCGAGGTGTTGGGGGAGGGAGGGTGTGAGAATTGTTTGTGCTACTGTTGGTGTTCATTTCTGTTAGGTTGCTCCTGATGATGTCGCTCCATCTCGTGCCTGGTCTTCCCCGTGCTCTGTGTTATTATATATCTATATCTTCAGGGTTGCTCTCTTTGGCAGTTGGTACTGGGCATTCTCGTCAGCTGGCCACAATATCTCATTTGCTGTTTCAGTCCTAGTCTTCTTCTGATTTCTTCATTCCTGATTTTTATTTCTACTTGTCACACCGGCAGCTCTCCTAAGCTGTTGTCAGATCTTCCGCTCATTAGTTGTAGTACAGGTCTATGTTTGGCACTGGTAGCACAATGTCGGTCAACAAACCGTTCGTATACTTGCTTTGATTGACAGAGGTATCTTTCTACCATTCTTGTGCCATTGCAACACACATGTTATATTTTACACTTGAATCATAGAACCAGATAATCAGTAAATAGCAGCACCAAGAACACGGCAAACGGGTCAATCCATAGTTGCTCCGTTCCGGTGTCAGCGAAATCAACACAGCATGCCCACCCATCACTGCCCTTGCTAAGACATTGACACAAACTGCAGTCTCAGCAAAGCCAAAAGCACACACTCGCATTTATTGCGTAAGTCAGCAGTCAGACGTGCCAGCGCAAACAGTCAAGCACTAGAAATGCAGTTTGTCGTTGATGGAAGCAGCAATTACAACAGATCAGCAGCTGCACACGCAATAAATCGCATAAGGCACCACCAGTTTTGCGGCAACCAGTCACTTGCCATTTTCTGAATCTGCAATTCACACAAACCAAACTGGACAAAGTCGAACTTTATCATGGATGACTTGTCTTAATGCCACCTGGTCTTGTTAGAGACACACACTTTCACCATAGGCTAAGATTCACACATCTCTCTTTCGTACACGATAACACTATTGTCTGGAAAATGCAGGAAGGTTTCAGCATAACGATCTCGTGAGACTGCGAACGATAATCGGCC